GTTCAGTGATAAAAATTGAGCAACTAGATCGATAAGTAGACGAAAAGAGTTATCTGATTAATTCTCGATAAATTTAATATTTATATAATTGAGGGTATTTTAGTAAAACTTATCAGTTACAGTACAGTATGATACAGTCAAACTAAACAGCAAAATGTTATTTAACAACAACAAACAATACAATCTATCCAAACATTGTATTCATAAAACGATACAATACAATACAATATATTATAAAACAATGAGTAACAACCATCCAAACAAGCAGTTAGATGAGCACGATTCAGTGATCATGATCATGATCAAAAGTCATGACCATGCCATGTTTGAAAGTAGAGATTTAGGTGGAAAAGTCTTGAGGTACAATTAGAGATGGCAGGCACGGCGGTACGGGTTCAGCTTTAACCAGGTCACTCGTAGGAACGAGGACGAGTCGCCGAATTCACATCAGAAATCTCCAATATGAATACAAACGACATCTTAAATTACGTATAAATATAAAACGAGGGCTGGTTCACGATAATGAATGGTGGTATCGGTCGGGGCAAGCGCAACACTCGTTCCCGTAGCCGTTGTTACAGCTGATAGATTCAAAAGTAAGTGGGGTGATAAACGGCCAAAAATGCATATTTTTCAGTGTACTTTCATCTCATAACTTGTGTGGTTACGGTAGGTTACATGAGCTTTTGTATTGAATTATGTTCATTACGTGCATTCTTATGTGTAGGAGCAAGTTGGACGAAATATGAGCAAAAGAAGTTGATTCGGGACCAAAAGACAAAATAAGGACTTTGCTCGTTCACCCTCACGTACACACGAGAGAGTGAACGAGCTAGCTGAGGAAAAGGTTGAGAAAAAACAGCGGAGTATGGAAAAAAGGCATGGAAGTGCACGAGAGACCTAGAAGGAAAAGAAAAAAGGGATGAACTTCGCTCGTTCACTCTCGCGTGCACACGAGAGAGTGAACGAGCTATCCTAAAAAGGCTATTTCGAAGTGGACTTGTATTATTTCGCCCCATGCTAACCCATATAAATAGTCTTTAAACTCATTTTTGAGAGGAAGGGGATCTTTTTAGAGAGGATTATCGACCAAAGGAGGCAAGAACACACTAGGAGCAAGGCGGAGAATTCTTCTACGAGTTTTTCACTTCTTCTTCCTATTTTCATTATTGGTTATAAATTCTAGTATTGTAGTTTTGCATACTCTTATGAATAGCTAATTTGTTATCTAGGGTTTTAGTGGAACCTTTCGTAGCATAAATTCTTGTGACATTTTTATATAATTGAGCCGTTGGATTTCTCTACTTGTTCAACTACATGTTTATTGCTGTTGATTGAATGGCCATCAATTGACTGTGCCTATTTCTGGTGTGTATATTTCTCGAGAGAGAGTACGCATTTAGGTAGTTGTTGAACAACATCACTCCTAACGTATGTGAGAAATCAATACGGAGGGTTTAAAGGCGGGATTAGAGATAACGAAACCTTGGTGCGATTGTAGTGAGCGGTGAATTAGTGCAAGCTAGCGTAGTTCGAGAGAATACGTCTAGTAAATTATGGTAGTTGCTCGAGAGAGAGATAAGACACCCAAAGTACTCACGATCGGTAGAGAATACTTAGGCGAAATTTAAAAGATGTAGCGGAAAGGATTCCGACAATTGGGGAAATCATAACTCTAGACCTCCTTAATATTGTTTCAGCCCCTTAATATTTTTAGTTGTTAATTTACTACTTTAATTTATTAGTTAATTAGTTAAACATAAGAATCTTAATATTTATAACTTAGGAATTGTTAGAGCTTACATTCTTAGTGATATTGAACAGTTGTAACAAAGCCTTAGTTATTTGTGGGATTCGACTCCAGACTTTTAGATCGGATTATATTTACAACGACCGCTTATCCTTTTTAGGACTAAAGTTAGGCGTGATCATGGGGCAAACTTCAACCCACATCGTCTCGCTTTACATAACAAAAATTTCTTAAAAGACCTAGCATCTCTTGGAATTCGTACACACCAAATGAAAAGTAAAGCGAAATGAAAGAAAAAAGCTATTTAGGCATCACCAATTAGCTAAGATTAAGTTTTAGTCATGCAAGTGTGTTTAGGTCCAATATTTTTTAGGAGTCCTTTAATCCTGCCAAACATTTATATGTCGGCTGAAAGAGCTGCTAGTGCATTATATTTTTATGTTTAAATTTTGTTTCACACTTGTTTACCCTAAAATCGGATAATAATTGAATTTATACGCGGTTTTAAGGACACGTGATATGACTTGGTACAATTTAAGAATAATAATTCAGTATTGAAATTGACGATAAGAGAATAAACGCAAACCACACAAATTGAACACTCTTGACCCTCGAGTTCAGTTATCCTTGAACCAAATATGCTTCAACTGGTTTATGAACAGAATAATAAGATAGTTAAAGCTAGAAAATGACAGTATATTCTTTGTATTGCGTGAATATGATATGGTTTATAAATGATCAGACCCCCCTTTATATAGTAGGGGAGTCCTACTCTAGATATAATTCTATATGAGGTAAGAAATCTAATGATTAGCTAATTAATCGGCCTCTTCTTGATACGTGCCAGGATTGCGCCGTGATCCTCGCCCGATTGCAGATATTTTGGCTTTCCGTTATTTGGCTCGGTAAGCTTCCATCGATCTCTATCTTGCTCGGTTTCGATCTTGGTCGATCTCGATCTTGATCGGTCTCAGGGCCACGAGATCGGCAACCTAACTTTGCATCATGGTTCGATATAACTCGAGGCTGAACCCTGGCCCATCATGTTCTAATCCCGACTAGTCATACAAAAAGGGCAAACTCGATTTTGACCGTATATAGATAGTCCCCTTATTTTTCGGAGAGAAGATGACGAGAAACGATATGAATTTCCGGGTTTTGTCTCGATGGGCTGTAGCATAAGCGACGAACGTCGCTGATATGCCCAATCATGACATAAGCAATGACTCGAAACGTCCCGTCGGTCTATACCAAGGCATTAAATGCATGTTAGTTGTCGGTCGGCCACCATGAGTTCTGAACGTCATCGGCAAGCTATAAGTACCGTAACCTTGCTCTATTCGAACCTTACATTCAAAGTTCCTCCCATTCTTTCTTCCCCTTCAAAAATCTCTTTGCTTTGCAATTCTTGTATCCAAATTTCTTGAACCTTTTAGCAAACCGCATATCATCCTAATTCCCTTCTCTTCTACTCTACAATGGCAAAAACTTCTAAAACTGTACTGCAAAAGGAGGCCGCCTCTTCTTCACGGCCTGCCAATGATGGAGCTACGGCGGAATATCCCCTTGAGGATTTCGTTCCGGAAGGATGCCCTACTGTCATCGATTTTAGGATTGAAAAGACCTCCTCAGTACCTGGTCAATGTGAACTGGTCTCGAGGTACATATGCACGATAACTGATGATCACTTTCCCAAAGTTAAAGAGGATTGCCACTGGGTCGATAAACATGTTGTGGTACCTTCGCCCGAGGAGTCTATCACTACCTACGTGGAGGGTTTCCTAAGTGTTTACACTTACCCTTTCACATTGGGAGACCCTGTCATCGTCGCCTTCTGCAAGAAGTACGACGTGACCTTTGGCCAGATCCATCCTTCCTTCTGGAGGATAGTGATTCTCCTCCGATTCTTCGTGAGCAAAATCGAGGGATGCCCTTTCACCCTTGATCACCTTATGCGCCTTTACAGTCCCCGACTCTATCGAGGAGGGCTGATCAAGCTTTCTCGCCGGGCCATCAAGGCCCTATTCTCGAGCATAGACGAGGCTCGTGATTGAGGTTGGATGGGCCGATTTGTTCGAATAAGGACTTCAGACCTGATTCCTGCTGAAGACATGCCGTTTCTTATGAAATAGAACACGAATCGTAAGTATTACTTTGCCTTGAGTGTCCAATTTCTCCGTTTTACTTCTTATCTTATTCCCTCATCTATGTTTTTGGTGTTGCAACTGTGGCCCATGTGCCGAAAGTAATCCACGATCTCAAGCAATGGGTCAAGGGCCTGGTGTCTCATAGACCATACTCCGAGCGTGCTTGGATGGAGTTATTGAAAGGTCGATGGGAGGCCCGCAATCATGGTAATTTTCTTCCTTAGAACGGTTATCGTCCGGGCTTCTTCTGGAGCTTACTCATCTTTTTTCCTTTGTAGGCCCCGGGAAGGATGTTGCAATGAGGCCCTCATCTGGTGGTGAAGAAGTCCTTCCCCGACTACCTGCTCCAAAGCTGGCCAAAGAGAAGAAAAGGAAAGGGGCTCCAAGTTCCCCGGGCTCGGAGAATAAGAAATCGACGAAGAGGTCGCACAAGCCCAGGGGAGACACCAGAGCTATGTCCTCGAACTCAATCCGTCGATTAAGGGATGAATGCGAAGAAGAAGAAGAAGAAGAAGAAGAAGATAAATCCAAACTGTTGGCCTGTGTGCGGGCTGGTGTCACTGTACAAAAGGTTCTCGAACCGGCGGGCGCTGAAGCTAAAACATCCTGACATGAGGAGGTCAGTGAGAGAGTTCTGGCTGAAGCTTTCGAGCCAGAAAGGGTCGAGCCCATCCTGTCCCAAGTTAGGGGGGCTTGAGAAAGAGACCGGGGGCAATGGTTCCCGAGCTGCGGTAAGTGCCCCGATAGACGAACTTGGGGCGATCGACATCAGCGGGTCTCCTCAGATTTCGGACACCATGCTTCGCGAGGCCAGTATGTTGAGTCCACAGGGGGTGACTGATATCCATGGCTTCTTGGATGGTGTCGAAGCCACTGCTTTGGAAGATGTCACCGGGCTCGGTGACAAGTAAAGAGCCGTCGCCGGGTGCTACCGGGTCTTCATCGAGCCCAAAACTGGCGGGTCAATTCCCGGCCCCAAGTGTTAACCCTGAACAAAGACAGTAATAACTTTTTCTATCCTGGAGGACGCCCGAGTTTTCTCTGCCCCCGTAAGGGTCGCTACTTACCTTCAGTGCTTGGTGACCGAAGAAGATCAGGCAGTGATGGACGAGGTGGAAGCCCCCTGGCTTTTCAATGAAGCTCAACAAGCATTAAACCGGGTAAGTTTGCGTGTTTTTTCTTTTCATATATTCTAACTATTAAAGTTGTAAGTAACATCTTCCCTTATGCTTGCAGGCTTCGGTGCTGCACAACGAGGCTTTCCTCCGATATCGGGAGGAATTAACTGGTCACGAGGCCGAGGTCTGGGACCTCACTGAGAAAAGTGACACCTACAAGCTTCTTAGTGAGAAGCTTCAGGACGATTTAGTAACGGCTCGGGACGAACATGCCGAGCAGGTATACCGAATGCTTCACGGTAGTGAGGACGAACTGGAGATAATGACTAACGATCCGATTCTGCAGGTTCAGCAGAGGCTTGAACAAATCGGGGAGCTTCAGAAACAAGTAGATACAATTCGAGCTGAGGCTGAGGAGTTCAAGAAAAATATGGACATCTTAGCCTCAAAAAAGGAAGCTGCGCAAACACAACTGGAGTCGACCGAGATCCAACTCCGAGCTGCAAGAGAGAAGGCCTCGGTGCAGGTCAAGAAAATCGACGAGCTTCAGTCCCAATTAGCAAACTTGGCCAATGAGCTCGAGGCGGCCAAATCTGAGGTGGCCGTGGCCAACACCAAGGCCCATGCTAATGTGACCCAATACTAGGTTGACTTCGAGGCCATCCAGGCGCAGGATAAAAGCATGGTGGATCATGCAAAGTGGAAGCTCGAAAGGAATCCCTTGAGGGACTCCATGCTCAGGGCTTTGATTACTGGTTGAACTCGAGAACGCCAAAGTAGAGGAAGCCAGGGCTCAAAAGCTGGCCTTTCCCGAGGAAGACTCAGATAGTTTAAGTGAGTCTGAAGGCGGGGAAGATCCTGAGGGTGGAGATGTTGCCTCCGATGAAGACCAGGCCACTTAGTCTTTTGTATTTTTTGCTTTCCCTATGCATATTTTTGAGGCCATTTCGGCCATTGTAATTTTTCCGAATTAAGTTATTTTGGCCTTTGTAAAGACTATTGTGTAAATATATACAAGGCTTTTTTCCTTTTTGGATTTTGAATTTTTCCTTTGCTTTATTACTTGAATTCACAAAGGTCGGGATGCCTTAGCATAAAATAGCTTGGGTTGTATAAGTTCGAACAACCTTGCCTTTACATTATTTTTATTTTTGAGTCATCTTGGAGGTTCGGGGTTACCGGGAACCTTCTCCAAATTAAGTAACTCAGACCATAGTTTGCCGAGGGTAGCCTTTAAAACCTTTTATGAAAATTTCGAAGGCCTATTTTTCGTTACGGTTCTCGGACGTCTCTAAGCCGTGTTAATGCGGCCGTAGCCTTTTAATTCGGTAGTAGCCCAGTGAGCATGATTCCCCGAGTTATCCAGGCTTGCCTAAGATAATAGTTCCTGAGCGGGTATGGCCGTGGCCTTTAATATTCGGGGGTTGCCTAAGAGGTCTTATGCCCCCGATGCTCAATAATTCGATCTGTTCAAGTTTGTTTTTCGGACGACGGTCTCCGACTGTGGGAGTGATCATCCAAACTCTGGTTATAATCGTCCCTTGAGCTCGTTTCCTTAAGAGATCGAAAATACCAAATTTTAAAGTGGAAACTTTTCTAAGACATAAGATGATTGCAAGGAAAGTACTTCTCTTTATTCTTGTGAAGAAATAGTTATACATGCGTACATGTTTTATGCCAGGGCTTGAGTAACTTATGTTGGCATGGTTCGTTTTGACCGTTTGGCCCTTACAACAAATCTTACCTATCGAGACCCTTCTATTAATTTCCTCGCAAAAGGTTGACATCCAAGGGTAATGCCGGCCAATATTTGAGGTTGATTGTAGAGGAACCTCGGATACTGTAGTGCAGTATTTGACACCGATTCATGATCGTCCTTCGATTCTAAGTTAGCACGATCCATTGTTGCCTCGTTAAAAACCTTGCCGAAAAACCCAATTGGGACAAAAAAGGTTCAAGGGAAAAAGAGTGCAACGTGTGCTTTTAGACCTAAAGGCTTCGTGCTGCTCCTTGTCGATCACCTGCAAGTGTTAGTGAAAAATAGAAAGAATTGAAATGGGCTTGTACCTTAGCAGTAATATCATTTAAGATGAGTTGCGTTCCAGTTGTTCGGTAGTTGTTCTCCGTTTATCATTTCGAGCTTCTAGGATCCTTTCCCTATGATCTCGAGAATCTGGTATGGCCCTTCCCTGTTCGGACCCAATTTCCCTTCGTTTGGGTTTCAAATGTTTAATGTGACCTTCCTTAGTACTAAGTCCCCGACACTGAAGTATTGAAGGTTGGCCCTTCGATTGTAGTACCTTTTGATGCGTTGCTATTGGGCGGCCAATCGAACAAGGGCAGTTTCACGCCTTTCATCCAATAGCTTCAGACTTGTATTCATGGCCTCGTCATTCGATTCCTTTGTTGCATATCAAAATCTGATGCTCGGCTCCCCGACTTCGATCGGTATTAGAGCATCAGCACCATAAACCAATGAGAACGGGGTAGCCCCGATACTGGACTTCGAAGTTGAGCGATATGCCCAAAGAACTTCGGGCAGGATCTCTTTCCATTTTCCCTTAGTGTTAGTTAACCTTTTCTTAAGGTTTTGGATTATGATTTTGTTGGTCGATTCGGCTTGTCTGTTCCCACTAGGGTGATAAGGTGTTGACAAGATCCTTTTGATCTTATGGTCTTCGAGAAACTTGGTCACTTTACTGCCGGTAAACTGTTTCTCGTTGTCATATGCAATTTCGGATGGTATCCCGAACTGACATATGTTGTGGTCCCAAATAAAGTTATGACTTCCTTCTCCCTGACCTTCTCGTATGCCTGTGCTTCAACCCACTTGGGAACAATCATGTTATGGCAGTAACTACAAGGAGTGGACGAGGCGGTGATGTGAATGCCTCTAAACAAAAGCAAATTTTGAGTGATGAAGTTGAGTTGCAAGAAGATGAAGTTCCTTTGGTGGTTGAGAATGTGATTGATGAAAATGTGAATGAAGATGTGAGGATTGATATTCAAGATGCCGAGGTGGAAACACAGGATGACGTGAACCCGTCTTGGGAACACGTAATAGACATGCCGGAGCCAGTTGTGCCAAAAGCCAAGGCACCCTTGCCTAGGCCACCTCCACCTTATCCTCAGAGGCTAGCAAAGCAGAAAAATGAGAATCAGTTCAAATAGTTCATTGACATGATGAAGAGCTTATCTATTAATGTGCCTTTAGTGGAGGCTTTGGACCAAATGCCTGGCTATGCTAAATTCATGAAAGATTTGGTGACAAAGAAAAGATCCATGGACGGTGAAACTATCAAGATGACCCACCAAGTTAGTGCTATAGTACATTCAATGGCCCCGAAGTTGGAGGATCCCGGTGCTTTCACCATTCCTTGCACTATTGGGAGTGCAGACTTTGCCAAAGCTCTATGTGATTTGGGGGCGAGTATCAACTTGATGCCCTACTTATTTTTCAAGACTTTGGGTATTGGGCAACCGAGGCCGACTTCCATGAGGTTGCAAATGGCAGATAGATCGATGAAGAGGCCTTTGGGTATAATAGATGATGTTCTCTTCCGGGTGGACAAATTTATCTTGCCAGCTGATTTTGTGATCATGGATTGTGAGGTAGATTATGAAGTTCCGATCATATTGGGGAGACCTTTCCTTTCTACGGGGAAGGCCTTAGTTGATGTGGAAGCAGGGGAACTCACCTTCCGGGTGGGTGATGAAAAACTAGTCTTTCATATGTGCATGTTAATGAAGCAGCCTAATTGTACCAAAGTGTGCTCATTTGTGGATCTTGTCACGGCTGTGATAATTGATGATACTAGTGCAGTGATCAATGTGGAGGACCCTCTGGAGGCCGTATTGTTGAATCTTGATGTCAATGATGATGAGGGCCGAGTGGAGTGCGTGAATGCTTTACATGGAATGGGCTCTTATTCTTATGAGCCTAGGAAACTCTCTTTGGATCTTGAAAATAGAAAGACTCCTCCAACAAAGCCTTCAGTTGAGGAGCCTCCGGTGTTGGAGTTGAAGCCATTACCTCCACACCTCAGGTATGAGTTCTTAGGCCCTAGTTAAACTTTGCCAGTTATTCTTTCCTCTTGTCTTACTAACATGCAGGTAGATGCCATATTACCGGTGCTCAAAAAGCGGAATAAGGCAACTGGATGGACTTTAGCTGATATTCGGGGAATAAGCCCCGCATTCTGTATGCACAAGATTATTCTTGAAGATGATGCAAAACCCTCCTTGGAACATCAAAGGAGGTTGAACGAGGCAATGCAGGAAGTTGTGAAAAAGGAGGTGATCAAATGGTTAGATGCCGGGGTTGTGTACCCTATTTCTGACAGCTCGTGGACTTCGCCGGTGCAGTGTGCCGAAGAAGGATGGTAGAACCGTGGTGACCAATGCTAAAAATGAACTAATTCCAACCCGGACAGTGACCGGATGGAGGGTGTGCATGGACTACCGCAAGCTGAACAAGGTGACCCGCAAGGATCACTTCCCATTGCCTTTCCTTGACCAAATGCTTGATCGTCTTGCTGGACGTGCCTTCTACTATTTCTTGGATGGATATTCTGGGTACAACCAAATCTTGATTGCTCCGGAAGATCAGGAAAAGACCACATTTACTTGTCCATATGGCACCTTTGCCTTTTCTCGGATGCCTTTTGGGTTGTGTAATGCACTGACGACATTCCAACGGTGTATGATGGCCATTTTCACCAATATGGTGGAAGATATTTTGGAGGTGTTCATGGACGACCTTAGTGTTGTGGGTGATTCATTTGATGAATGTTTGAAAAATCTGGATAAAGTGTTGGCTCATTGTGAAGACACCAATCTTGTGCTCAATTGGGGAAAATGTCACTTCATGGTTGAGGAGGGCATAGTGCTCGGTCATAAAATTTCAAAGCATGGCATAGAGGCAGATAAGGCTAAAATAGAGGTGATTTCAAGGCTTCCTCCCCCCCACTTCTGTCAAGGGGGTTAGAAGTTTTCTTGGGCATGCGGGGTTCTACCGGATATTTATCAAGGACTTTTCGAAGGTAGTGAATCCTTTGTGCCAGCTACTAGAAAAGGATGCCAAATTCGTGTTCGATGAGGGATGTATGCAAGCATTTTAACTTCTCAAGCATAAGTTGACCACCACCCCTATCATTACCGCACCCAATTGGAGCTTGCCTTTCGAGCTCATGTGTGACGCGAGTGATGTTGCGGTTAGGGCAGTTTTGGGTCAAAAAGTGAACAAAATGTTTCATCTGGTGTACTACGCGAGCAAGACAATGAATGAGGCCCAAAGGAACTACATGCTAACTGAGAAAGAGTTGTTGGCTATTGTGTTCGCAATGGAAAAATTTCGGCCGTATCTCATGGGAGCCAAGGTCATAGTGTACACCGATCATGCAGCTCTTAGGTATTTGATGACGAATAAAGACTCCAAAGCTAGGCTGATGCGATGGGTCTTGTTGCTTCAAGAATTTGATTTGGAAATTGTGGACCGGAAAGGTAGTGAAAACCAAGTGGCGGACCACTTGTCCCGCTTGGAGGAGGAAGGGCGGCCGTGTGATGGCCTAGAGATCAATGATACATTTCCCGATGAGCAACTACTTTCTGTGTCAACGAATGATATGCCATGGTTTGCAGAAGTTGCTAATTACCTTGTGACTGGTATAATCCCGTGTGAGCTCTCTTCTAACAAAAGGAAGAAGCTCAAACGGGATAGTTTGGATTTCTATTGGGATGAGCCGTACTTATTCAAGATTTGCACCGACGGAGTGATCCGAAGGTGTGTCCCTGAGGAGGAGCAGTTGTATCTTAGAGGCTCGTCATTCCTCTCCCTATGGTGGCCATCATGGCGGGGCGAGGACAACTTCGAAAGTTCTTAGTTGTGGATTTTACTGGCCAA